TGCTGCTCCTTCCGCAGAACCCTCACGTCCAGAGTCTGCGGCTGAGAGTATTAAAGATGAAAAGTCACCAGTCGCATCAAAGCCGGCTTCGGTAGTAGAGAGTGTCAAAGATGAAAAATCTGCTGCCCCTTCTGCAGAGGCCTCACGACGAGAATCCGTGGCAGAGAGTATTAAAGATGAAAAGTCACCAGTTGAGTCAAAGCCCGCTTCGGAAGCAGCGAGTGTGAAATATGAAAAGTCCGCTGATCCTTCTGCAGAGGCCTCACTTCCTGAATCCACTGCAACTCTTGATGCGGAAACTATTAAGATGATTGATAAAATAACAGAAGAAGTTGAAAGCAAGTTAAAGGTGGCAGTCGAAGAAACAATTGAGATCACAGAAGAAGTTACTAAAGTCGAAGATGAATCTGCTAAGATAACTGAAGTACTAAAAGAGGCAATGGCTGATGAAGTTAAGACGGTAGTCGAGGAATCTGTTGAAAGAACTGAAGCTATAAGCGAGGTTATTGAAGATAGGGCTGTGACTACAATCGACGAGATCAACAAAGTTACAAAAATCGCTAAAGAGACAATTAAAGGTGAAGCCAAAAAAGTGGAAGAAAAAACCGAGGCTATAGTTGAGGAAACTTCCAAGAAGGTCAGCGACATAAAAGAAGATGTAACATCATCAATATCCGAGACCATAGATAAGGCCGTCAAAAAGACTGAAGAAATTGATGACAAACTGGAACTTTTAGCAGAAAAGGTGGAAATAACGGCACAAGGAGCAGTTGAAAAATTAGATGAAACAACGAAGACTATTGGCGAAGCTCTCCTTAAAACTGAAGAAAAACTTCAAGATTTCACCAAACTTACAGAAGGAAAAAGTAAAACTGTAGAAAAAGATATAACAGATAAGTTTATTGAAGTGTCTCAAGCTATCGAAGACAAGACAAAAACTATAACTGAAGAAGTCTCCAGAAAAGTTGAAGAAGTAGAGACAGCGGCTGAGGAGAAAACAAAAGCTATTGCTACAGAGGCCGACGAGATAGCTGAAGTAATCTCCAAAAAGTTTACTGACGCTCAAGATTTCGCTGCTGATAAAGCAAAGACAGCTAGCGAAGAAATCGCAGAAAAGGTAACTACAGTAACAGAAATAGCCGAAGATGTGCAAAAGACAGCAGAAGGAAAAGCACAAGCCACTGCGCAAGCTTTAGTAGAAATAATTTCGGTTGTACCAGAGGTCGCCGATGACAAAATTGAGTCTGTTGCAGATGGTGTAGACAAATTGATTGACGACGCAACAACTACCACAGCGGAACTTACCACAGCGGTTAGTGCCACGGTTGAGACAATTACAACTGATCTTTCCACAGGCATTACTGGATTCCTCAAAGATGTCAAGAGCAGCATATTCAGCACTGCAGAGAAAAAACATGAGAAGTTGAAGGAAATCACAGAAGAAATAATCAAACCGGAACAAATCGAACTGGACTCTTTGCCAACTGCTACAAAACTACCCCTAGAGCTAAGCACATACTCAACTGAATTAAGAGAAACCCATATTACTACGGTGGAATCGCCCGAATTTAAAGTGACGATGACCGAACGCGATGAAACCATACTTCACGACATTACAGAAGAGGACGAAGAGCACAGAATATCCCCACCCACAACAAAACCGGCAATATCCAGTGAACAGCCCTTACGTCCAGTTTCACCACGTGAAGAGGAGGTTGCTAAAATAGTAGCCGACGTTGCCAAGGTTTTGAAATCTGAAAAAGATATAACCGAAATTATTCCAGATTTCAACGAGGAAAAGTTGATACAGCGTTTGAAAACACCAGAAGAAACCGAGCCTGAAACCGTTACGGTTCAAAGAATGCTGGTAACCGCCAGCAGTGAAGATGGCGGAGAAGAAATAGATATATGTCCAAAAGGTAGTATTGTTTTTACACCGACCATGGCTCCCGAAACCATACCAGAAAAAGTTTCTACAATTAAACCACTGGACATAGACTACCAACACTACACTGAAGACTCTGGCGCAGAGGAATCAGAAAAGTCTTCTCCCGAGCTCCGTTCGGGTCCGATATCCATTGAAGAAAAAGACAAAATTGAAGAGTCCGAAAAGGAGCTTCGTAAAGAAGCCGCAACTAAGGTTGCAAAAGACGCACTGAATAAAGATACCATCGAATCTCGGCGAGAGTCAATTTTGTCGACTACAGAAAGCAAGAAAGATGATAAGTCACCTGGGGCTTCCAAGGAACCATCACGAACAGAATCAGTTTCTAGCACTAAAGACGAAAAGATTGAAGAAACTGTTGAATTCCATCGCGAGTCAATTCTGTCGACTGCAGAAAGCAAGAAAGATGATAAGTCGCCTGTGACTTCCAAGGAAGCATCCCGACCAGAATCAGTTTCTAGCACTAAAGACGAAAAGATTGAAGAAACTGTTGGCTCCCGTCGAGAGTCAATTTTGTCGACTGCCGAAAGTAAGAAGGAAGAAACAGTCGAAGCTCGCCGTGACTCAGTTTTGTCGACTGCAGAAAGCACGAGAGATGATAAGTCGCCTACGGCTTCCAAGGAACCATCACGACCAGAATCAGTTTCTAGCACTAAAGACGAAAAGATGGAAGAAACTGTTGAATCTCGTCGGGAGTCAATTTTGTCGACTGCCAAAAGTAAGAAGGAAGAGACGATCGAATCTCGTCGTGAGTCAGTTTTGTCAACAGCAGAAATCAAGAAAGATGATAAGTCTCCAGTAGCTTCCAAGGAACCTTCACGACCAGAGTCTGTCGTCAGCACTAAAGACGAAAAGATCGAAGAAACTGTTGAATCTCGTCGGGAGTCAATTTTGTCGACTGCCGAAAGTAAGAAGGAAGAAACAGTCGAATCTCGTCNGAAGAAACTGTTGAATCTCGTCGGGAGTCAATTTTGTCGACTGCCGAAAGTAAGAAGGAAGAAACAGTCGAATCTCGTCGTGAGTCAGTTTTGTCGACTGCAGAAAGCACGAAAGACGATAAGTCGCCTGTGGCTTCCAAGGAACCATCACGACCAGAATCAGTTTCTAGCACCAAAGACGAAAAGATTGAAGAAACTGTTGAATTCCGTCGCGAGTCAATTCTGTCGACTGCAGAAAGCAAGAAAGATGATAAATCACCTGTGGCTTCCAAGGAACCATCACGACCAGAATCAGTTTCTAGCACCAAAGACGAAAAGATTGAAGAAACTGTTGAATCTCTTCGGGAGTCAGTTTTGTCGACCGCAGAAAGCAAGAAAGATGATAAGTCACCTGTGGCTTCCAAGGAACCATCACGACCAGAATCAGTTTCTAGCACCAAAGACGAAAAGAGTGAAGAAACTTTTGAATCCCGTCGAGAGTCAATTTTGTCGACTGCCGAAAGTAAAAAGGAAGAAACGGTCGAATCTCGTCGTGAATCAGTTTTGTCAACTGCAGAAATCAAGAAAGATGATAAGTCTTCAGTAGCTTCCAAGGAACCTTCACGACCAGAGTCTGTCATCAGCACCAAAGACGAAAAGATTGAAGAAACTGTTGAATCCCGTCGGGAGTCAATTTTGTCGACTGCCGAAAGTAAGAAGGAAGAAACGGTCGAATCTCGTCGTGAGTCAGTTTTGTCGACTGCGGAAAGCAAGAAAGATGATAAGTCACCTGTGGCTTCCAAGGAACCATCACGACCAGAATCAGTTTCTAGCACTAAAAACGAAAARATTGAAGAAACTGTTGACTACCGTCGAGAGTCAATTTTGTCGACTGCCGAAAGTAAGATGGAAGAGACGGTCGAATCTCGTCGTGAGTCAGTTTTGTCAACAGCAGAAATCAAGAAAGATGATAAGTTTTCAGTAGCTTCCAAGGAACCTTCACGACCAGAGTCTGTCGCCAGCACTAAAGACGAAAAGATTGAAGAAACTGTTGAATCCCGTCGCGAGTCAATTTTGTCGACTGCGGAAAGCAAGAAAGATGATAAGTCACTTGGGGCTTCCAAGGAACCGTCACGACCAGAATCAGTTTCTAGTACCAAAGACGAAAAGATTGAAGAAACTGTTGAATCCCACCGAGAGTCAATTTTGTCTACTGCCGAAAGTAAGAAGGAAGAAACGGTCGAATCTCGTCGTGAGTCAGTTTTGTCAACTGCAGAAAGCAAGAAAGATGATAAGTCTCCTGTAGCTTCCAGGGAACCTTCACGACGAGATTCAACAGACTCTCGTCTGTCGACTGCAGAAAGCAAAAAAGATGATAAGTCTCCTGTAGCTTGCACGGAACCTTCACGTCTGGAATCAGCTTCTAGCATTAAAGACGAAAAGAGTGAAGAAACTATTGATTCTCGTCGGGAGTCAGTTTTGTCGACTGCAGAAAGCAAGAAAGATGATAAGTCACCTCTGGCTTCCAAGGAACCATCACGACCAGAATCAGTTTGTAGCACTGTGTCGACTGCCGAAAGTAAGAAGGACGAACCGGTCGAATCTCGTCGTGAGTCAGCTTTGTCAACTGAAGAAAGCAAGAAAGATGATAAGTCACCAGTGGCTTCCAAGGAACCATCACGACCAGAATCTGTCATCAGCACCAAAGACGTTAAAATTGAAGAAGCTGAATTTCGTCGTGAGTCACTTTTATCCACAACTGAAAGTAAGAAGGAAGAAGTGGTCGAATCTCGTCGTGAGTCAGTTTTGTCAACTTCAGAAAGCAAGGAAGATGATAAGTCACCTGTGACTTCTAAGGAACATTCAGGACAAGAATCTGTTGCTAGCTTCAAGGAGGGGAAGACTTGGGAAGTTGGAAGTACTTCAGTTTTGGCGTCAACTGAGGTAAAAGAAGTGATAGCTGCTAAAGAAGAACAGGTTGTGGAAACCGCTGACGTTCATATAATTACGATGGGAGAAAGGACTTCGGCGGTAACTAGATCAGTGGATAGTGAAATCCTTACTCAGAAGGAGGAATTGAATAAAGCTGTCGTAGACACCACTGAATCTAGATCTGTACATACGACGTTAGAGGAAAAGAATGCTGATTCATTCACGACTGAATCTGTATCCTCAACAACGGAAATATCCACAGTTGTTAGTAAGTCAATAGATTCATCCATTCGTTCACATCTTTGTGAGGAATCTCATAGTGAATCCATGAGTAGTGTTAAAATGGAAGATGATTCTCCGAGAAAGTCACTTTCCAGTTTCCTTGCTAGCAAAGATGATCCTAATAAAGGCGAAAGTAAAAAACTCGAAGAATCTATCGTGAAGTTTGTGAAAACTGAAGCGCTCACCCAAGCGGAGGAGTCCATGACACATTCAGAGGAATGTTCTTCTGAGTCCATAATTAGTGAAATTCAAACCAGCGATATAACAACACAAAAATTAGATACACACACAACGCTCAAAACTGCCGCCCAAAGTGAGGCTGTGGCCCTAGACGGTAAAGAAACTCTCAAGGACACCGTGGCTGAGTTCTTAGCCACAGAGAAAATTGTTTCAGCGAAGGATAGCTTTGTAAGTGACACAAAAGCAACAAAGCCTTCAGGTGAAACATTAGAAAAGACTATAAAAACAACAACAACACAATCGACTACAGAATCTCGTAGGACATCTGATTTACTGGCAAGCATGAAAGACATTTCGCGAAGAGAATCCGAATACAGCCAAACAAGCGAAGGACGGCACACACACAGCGATCACGAAGACGAAGAGGAAAATGAGTGTCTAATTAGCATGAAGGAGGGACGTTCTAAATCTATAGCTACTATTATGATGACCAGCATTTATAAACCCTCCGAGGATGTAGACACTTTTGAAAAGCTAGAAGAAGAGGAAAGTGAAGAACATGCTGAATGTCTTGAAGCAGCGGAATCGACTGTCACCAAATCCACAAGTATCGTGCACAAGTCAAGTGAAAAAATTAGTGCCGTGAGTTCCGAGGGCAAATCGAAAATATCAACACAATTGGAAACCATAATCTTAACACAACCACTTGAGAGTGATCCAAAGACACCACCTACTGCTCCAGTGAGTCCTGGCATAAAACATTCCACAACTAGCGCAAGTACAGTAGTAACCACTACAACAACATTAAGTGAAACTTGTGGCAGCAGTGCAGCTTCAGTGAGTGGACCACTCTCACCAAGAGATATTAGCGGTAAGTCCAGTCCCGGTGCACTCACATCTGAAAGTCAATCATTACCAACACCTTTTGGTCGCGGTTCTCTTACAGATGCGTCCGAATCGTCGCCAAAGCCCACTTCGCCATTCCCGCGTGTTAGCAAAGAAGAGCTTAAATCAGCCAGCGCCGCTGTCAGCGAAGCTATCAGCTCTGGCACTTATGCAACACAAGAATACAGCGAGAGCATGTTGCCAGATTTACATGAGCTGCGCGGTATAGAGAAGACAACTGCACTTAGTGGCAGCACTGAAAAAATAATCACAACAACTATTACAACCGTAACCAAAGTGATATCTAGCGATGGCAAGGAAATCGTTATGGAAGAGAAGACAGTTACAACCACAGACACCACGGAGCCAGATGGTGAGAAGGTGACTGTAACCACCACACGTACTACCAGCGAAAGTGACAAAAGCGATCACATATTGCCCAAGGAGGTGGCGTTGCTACGCGGCGCCTACCGTTCTTCCACACCCGGCAGCGACGATGAACGTATGACTGGCACTTACATGAGTGATGACGAGCTACCCGCATCGCCACGCAGTCTTGCCTCATCACATGGCGCAAGCTATGAATTGCAACGCTCCAGCTCAGGCGTGAGTAAACGCTCCGACTTCGATGTGGACGACAGCCAAGACGATATACCGCCACAATATGGCAGCGAAGAACACTCTGCCGCCCGCGCTGTATCCTCAACCATCAGCTGCCTACAAAAAATCGCCGATCCAATGAGCACCTCATTCTATGGTGCATTGCCTGACAGTTTCGACATCAAGCCAACAGCACCAATACCCATATGCGGCACCACAACGCATACCGTAACCACGCGCACATATGTCGCCGACTCACCCCCTAGTCAATCCACGGAAAGCATCGAAAGCACTAGCCAAACCTCAGCCAGCCGTAAAGTCATCAGCGGCGGCGCACACGCCAGCGTTGACAGTGGCGATCACAAATTCCTCGAAGAAGCCGACATGGATTTCGAAAAGGCGCTTGAGGAGCATGTGCAAGTGCGTGGCGCCGATGTTATGTCTTCAGTCACCGCCAAGTATTCTTATTCACCCTCCAAAGCGGAAGAGGTAGAGCATAGTGTGGCCAGTGTTGAAAAGCCAAAATTCCCGTTAGTTGATGTGCAGAAAACACGCTTCACTGAAACCGGTACCACTGTATCCAGCAGCAGCAGCACAATAGAAAGCGCAACTGAAAGCAAAGATGGCAAGACAACAACTACTACGACCACAACAACCACTACTAGTGCTGAAGGCACAGGCGCAACTGCCAGTGAGACCACAACAACCACCACCACGACGACATCAAGCGCTACCGGAGCACTGCCTAAAGACCCTCTAAAGGAATGGGGTAAACCATTGGGACTGCCATCGCCCGCACCACTGCCCATTGAGGGTGATGTACGCACCACACCGAAGAAGGAGCGTCGCTTAGTGGCCACTAAGACACGTCTAAACAACGAAAAGAATCTACGCAAACGTTCAGAGTCGCCCAATAAGGCCAAGAAGCCGGCGCCCGTTTATGTAGATCTCACCTATGTACCACACAATGGCAATTCCTACTACTCACACGTCGAATTCTTCAAGCGTGTGCGAGCGCGTTACTATGTCTTTTCCGGCACCGAACCCAGCCGACAAGTGTACGATGCGCTGTTAGAGGCAAAGCAAACATGGGAAGACAAGGACTTGGGTAAGTCTAATATGCTTGTTGTAAATCTCAATTGCTAATCTAAATAATATTTTCTGCCCACACAGAGGTCACCATAATACCCACATACGATACGGATGTACTAGGCTATTGGGTTGCTGAGAATGAGGAGCTTTTGGCCAAATATCGTATCGATTTATCGCCTTCAGCATCGCGTTGCACAATCAACTTGCAGGATCACGAGACATCGTGCGCCGCCTATCGCTTGGAGTTCTAGGCCACGGGGATGTTTATCTCGTTCGCCGATGCCGAAAATCTCATACAACTCTACAACTAAAAGCTTAATTCTACTACTAAATACTTTAAGTACTAAAAAATAAGATCAAACTAAAGGATAAAATTAAAAATTCAAACAAATTAAAATGGCAATGAAGCTTTTGACCGAACATCAATCGTGAAGCTTTTTATGAAACAAAGACAAACTTGCAATAAACGAGCAAGTAAATAATAGCAACACATGAAAGCTTTCTTGGCTGAAACTTGCACGTAGGCGCGTTAAGTGTGCGCACTTAAACAACCGTTGCGAAATGTGACAGTCAGGGTGAGCTTTCACGCTTCAAAAGCCCACAACTCAGCGCCGCAACACAGGCGCAAATACAAAAGCTTGACATACCTGTTGAAGAAAACAAAACACAAATACAAATACATAATATGCAACTGAAGATCTGTAACTGAGAAAGCGGAATGAGTGAAAGCTTGACAAAGCTTTGCGCTTATATAAGTACGCAGCTTTGTAGCAGCTTTTGCGCAATTTTGGTAAAACGAGAGTTATTAGCATAGCAGACATGAGCATAATTATGGCGGAGTTCTTGGTGTACTACACGAGATTTTGCAATTGAAAAAAATCGAGTGTAGCGCCATTTTGTTTATTGATGCCGCACATTTTTATGCGAAGTCGCGGAAGGCAATGAAACGGAATAGCGGCACTTGTAATGCAAAAGAATTGTAATTTAAGCAAAAAGGTAATTACAGTAATTAAATGCATATTTGTTGAAGATATTTAATTACACAAAAGAGATATATATACACGTATGTATTGCCTGATTCATGTAAGGATGTCGATGGCTCTTTAAGAAACCCAAAAACTAAAAAACACATGAAGTGAACGCTGAAAGCAAAAAAATTATCCAAACTAAACACAGAATATTAAAGCATAATAAATAGCTAATAAAATAACAACTTTGTGAGCAGAGCAAACCATGAGCGAGTTGATGAGAATAGATTGCTGAGAAGGAAAGTTAAAATAAATATTAAAAAGCTTTGAAATAATTAGAAAGGAATTAAAAGTGAAAATTAAATCTATAAATATTAAAATATATATATAGGTTAAATGAGTAAAAAAAGAATCAAAATAGATATCAATGAAATATGAAATAATTGAA